CGTGCGACTGGACAATGAAATGCTAGTCTAGACATAAGTGTAAATCCACATAATGAATTGCACGCTGTTCGGTGAAATTACACGTTGCTGTATGGTTAGCCCAACACCGAGAAGCATTTTGTTGCTCATATTGCTATAACGATTACTCGAAATCGAAGGCCAGGCCCCATAGCTTTGTTACATCTGAGTTTCACCGTAGAAATACTATCTTTGTTGTTGTTATCACTCCTGCTATTATTATTAATATTGTATTTCTCATTTTAAAAGTACAATTTTGTTAGATAAGATAAGATGACATACATCTTTATTTTCCAGATGCTGGCATATTTCTTTGGTGTTTCACCGCAAACACACATACACACACGCACACATGTGCGTGCACACACACATACACACACACACACACACACACACACACTCACACTCACACACACACACACACACGCACACACACACAAAGACACAAACAGGCACACACACACACACACGAAGTGAGGACAAATAAACAACGATAGATAAATATAATGACTCACTTGGGGGCATTCTGACTTGTCTCATCCTAACGGGGCCCACACGGTAGTTGGCCAGGTCTTCCATAAACTGTCGACCTTCTGGCGTCAATTCCTTCCCGGACACGAACTTACTGGGGAACATCCGGAGCACCATGGTAGTGTTGAGCCACGTGTAGATGTCTTGGTGGGTACGGAGCTGTTCAATTCAGGGTCAATACAAACAGGAGGTTGTAATTGATTGTAAATTATTAAATAGTATCGCATCCAAAAAGAAAGAGAAAACAATAGAAAACCACAACGAAATAGACAAGTAACTTTAAGATGTGTTTTCAAAATAGCGGTTAAGTAAACTTTTAAAATCAAAAATTAAATGAAAAAGAAAAAGAGACAAACTGTACATCATTCAGGGGTGGGCTGTATTGAATAGGCTGAGTTGGATGCAGTATGGCAAAAAAGACGAGGTTACTAGATATGATATTCACGTAGATCTAGTTCAGACTCTTGTAATACATTCATGTTTTTTTTTTTGTGTATAAAAACTTAATACCGGACCAGTTAACCAAAAATATTTGAGACTAAAATATATACATGCGTGCCAATTAATCAACATTTTTATTTTTTTGGCATCTGTGACCCTCATGAAACTAGCACCTTGAAGCAAAGGCTAAAAAAATATTACGTACATATATACCGAACGCCATTGAAACACAACGTTTTCAAAAAATTATTAAACCAGCCAATACGCTCTGATCGTCACAATATTTGGAGACACATCTGAAGAGAGAGAGAGAGAGAGAGAGAGAGAGATTTAGAAAGAATGGGAAAGAGAGAGATGGAGAGAGAGGGGTGAGGGGGATATTGTATGAAAAGGACTACTGCGACTACTACTACGTCCCATACAAATCAGGTGAAGAACCAAATACTGTAGACTGCACTAAACACGTACCTACAAACACATCGAACAGATATAGCACAAAACAATTTCCAATCACATTCTAAAATTCGTCTCCTCATTGCTATCCTTAGTTCTCAAAACACTATTATAATTTCTAAGAGGGGCATTGTGTTAAATGCTAATTATAGAAATTATTGTCTAGCCGGTGTCAAGGTGGAAAAGGGGAGAGGGAACAGGAGGGGGGGTGTATTGGTTTAGACTTTAGGACAGCCAAAAGAGGCGCTTCTCTCTCCTTTTTAAAATCCCCTCTGGGCGGTTCGTGGCACAGACCTTGGCCAAGTGAGGTAACTCCGGGAAGTTGGCGATGAATAGATCACCAAACAGAACCATGGATGGCTTAACATTGATTAGGCATTAAAGAATTAGAAATCTGCTGACAATAGATGTACAGGCAGTAATAAGAGGCAGGTTGAATGATAAATGTACCGTATAATACAATGTATTTGTACTGCAGACGTGTCCTACGAATAGTAGTAGTAATAGTCGGACTCAGATTGAACGGACTCAGATTCAACGAAAATTCTGGTTAAATGAAAGAAGACACCAACGAAATAAGTCGGATACAACAAACACATAAATGAACAAACTCGAATTCAACGAACCTGAAACAAACCGTATCTATTTTATTCCAAAAGACCATTGATTGCACGTGCACAGCGAGACATTTAGCCTAGCCTATTGCGTACATCTTAGGAGACCAAGCAGAAAGTGTTGTTGACACACCCAAAAGACATGACATACCAAAGTCAAGAGAGGTCAGTCGGCTGTCAAGGGGGGGGGGGGTGTACAGGAGTTTGTGGAAAGTCGGCAGAGGTACAGGCGTATTTTAATTCAAACCACCCCTCCCCCCCTCACAAAAATGCCCCCCCCCCCCGTGCGACTGGACAATGAAATGCTAGTCTAGACATAAGTGTAAATCCACATAATGAATTGCACGCTGTTCGGTGAAATTACACGTTGCTGTATGGTTAGCCCAACACCGAGAAGCATTTTGTTGCTCATATTGCTATAACGATTACTCGAAATCGAAGGCCAGGCCCCATAGCTTTGTTACATCTGAGTTTCACCGTAGAAATACTATCTTTGTTGTTGTTATCACTCCTGCTATTATTATTAATATTGTATTTCTCATTTTAAAAGTACAATTTTGTTAGATAAGATAAGATGACATACATCTTTATTTTCCAGATGCTGGCATATTTCTTTGGTGTTTCACCGCAAACACACATAAACACACGCACACATGTGCGTGCACACACACATACACACACACACACACACACTCACACTCACACTCACACACACACACACACACGCACACACACACAAAGACACAAACAGGCACACACACACACACACGAAGTGAGGACAAATAAACAACGATAGATAAATATAATGACTCACTTGGGGGCATTCTGACTTGTCTCATCCTAACGGGGCCCACACGGTAGTTGGCCAGGTCTTCCATAAACTGTCGACCTTCTGGCGTCAATTCCTTCCCGGACACGAACTTACTGGGGAACATCCGGAGCACCATGGTAGTGTTGAGCCACGTGTAGATGTCTTGGTGGGTACGGAGCTGTTCAATTCAGGGTCAATACAAACAGGAGGTTGTAATTGATTGTAAATTATTAAATAGTATCGCATCCAAAAAGAAAGAGAAAACAATAGAAAACCACAACGAAATAGACAAGTAACTTTAAGATGTGTTTTCAAAATAGCGGTTAAGTAAACTTTTAAAATCAAAAATTAAATGAAAAAGAAAAAGAGACAAACTGTACATCATTCAGGGGTGGGCTGTATTGAATAGGCTGAGTTGGATGCAGTATGGCAAAAAAGACGAGGTTACTAGATATGATATTCACGTAGATCTAGTTCAGACTCTTGTAATACATTCATGGTTTTTTTTTGTGTATAAAAACTTAATACCGGACCAGTTAACCAAAAATATTTGCGACTAAAATATATACATGCGTGCCAATTAATCAACATTTTTATTTTTTGGCATCTGTGACCCTCATGAAACTAGCACCTTGAAGCAAAGGCTAAAAAAATATTACGTACATATATACCGAACGCCATTGAAACACAACGTTTTCAAAAAATTATTTAAACAGCCAATACGCTCTGATCGTCACAATATTTGGAGACACATCTGAGCAGTTGTAAGTTCACTCACCAAAGGACGATTTTTACTTTGTCCAAGCGAATTTATCATCTGTATAAAGTGATTATGCTTTAGTAAAATGTGTTCATTAGTTGCTATATTAAAAACGATATTAAAATTATTTTGCAGTTTTTGGGACACCTGAATAAACATAATAAAGGTTTTGACCATCAAGCTTTCACTGGAAAAATTGAGTGCAAGCGAGGCAGGGGTAGGCCCAGAACAACATACTTAGGGAACCTAAACAAATGGGTAACAGGGAAATATCAGGGAAAAGTAGCTTTTTGAGAGCATCCAGGCAAAGGATTGAATGGAAAACCATGATCGCCGATGTCTGTCGCAGATCTGGCACTGGATGATGATGATGATGAATAAAATTATTTACCTAGTAGATGACCCGTAGCTCTTTTTTAACAAAAGTCCCACCTTTTTTTGAATCAGTTTTAAAAAATTTCTTTCATTACGCAATACGGTAAATTTTGCTTTCTCATTTGCGAAATCGTTTCGTTCCTCAAAAGTAACAGCTAAAGGCATGCATGGAGTGCATGAAAATGTTTCTTTTTTTTGTCTGAGACGCGGAGCGATAAGTTCAGGATTTAGATCAAGAACGCCTTATTTAGGGTTACAATTAACGAAGCTGCAACAACAGCGCCGTCCTCACGTTGCGAAACAGCACAAAGAAAAAATCATAATCTCTCACTCTCAGTCATCCAACAAGACACTCCTGCCCTTACACTGCCCATTTAACAAACCACACAGTTTCTGGAGATCAAAAACATGAATGTCAGGGACTGGCAAGTGTACGTATCCGACATTCCTCAAACAGAACAGCAAAGTGTGCGCGGTTTTGCAAATCTGCAGCTATTGGGAGATTACGTTGCCTCGAAAGTGGGACAGAATTTCTCAACAAAACATTGAAATGTTATAAAATGTATGTGAAGAAGTGTTTTGGTCTGTATGAATGAGAATGAGGGCAATGCAATTTACTAAGGGTGAGAGATCTTTATTGAGTTTCGATTTGTGTTTATTTGCAAATTTGTCTTAAGGGGGCACTCCGAAAGAAGAAGAACAAAGTATCAAAGGTCAGTTTAAGGTTTTGATTAAAATTTTAACGGTTCACATGTGTTGGAAATTGAATAAACTTTTTCAAAAACGTCTTTTAATATATATTTTTGTATACAAACGTGTCCAGACTCTGCTAACGTTCTGTTTATATGTATTAAAAAAATATATACATAT